CATCGAAATACTCACCTCCTGGATTCATCTTGCCTCTCCTTCCAAGTCTGCCTCCACCTCCTAAACCTGTAAGAAAACAAACTAAACATTATCTTCTGCAACAACTCTTCTGTGGACCCATTGTAACTACTTCCCCTTACCTTTCAGGAAAATCTCTGGAACAAACCCACTGTAAATAAACTCACTTATCTTCTTACCCTGTCTCCGAGTATTGTCTGGTATTGCTTGAAATTGAGTACTAAACTTTACATCAAAACCTGATAGTTTTTTACCCAGTGTTGACAAAAAACCACATTTCTTAAAAAGCTACAAATGTTATGAACTTTTGCAATTTATTTCCGTGTTGAAGTGAAGAACTTTAAGACTTTTCTATCACACTCCCACAGACAGTAGTGAGGAGTGAAAGTGAAGTGTGAACAGCCAACAACATTAACAAACACCATCAGCACCAGGAGATACTTTCACCCCGTCAGTGCATTTAATTATGGTTTGGCTTGATTCAGCTCTTATCCTCTCAATATAATTTTATCTCATTTAAGGAGAAAAAAATGAAAGATGAAGTGGGGGGGCAGTAAGTACTTTCGTAATTTAAGAGAGTGTTAATGAGTGGCTGCTAACCTTTCTCAGTTATCTATCATCAGTAATGGAGGCAAGGACCCTTTTTCCAATCTGCTTCATTAAAAACGTTCTATTAAATCTAAATATGACGCCACACACTGCTGGAATTAATAGAGTTTCTGAATGCTTGGAACGTTTTAACTACAGGGATTTATATTATTTAGTATAACAAAGGTACTTAGATGCATTAATGAACAATAAATTTTGATACAAAATTCATTTTTTCTATTGTTGCTTATACTGTCTGTGACACTTAAATACAAAAAGTCAAAGAAAGTAGATATTTACAAAACTTGGCCTATTACACACAATGTTACCCATTTTGTCACATAACTGGCATATTTTATTTTAAACTTGGCTCAGCCACATGAAACAGGAAGTGACATCAAAGGGGAACTCTAGGAAAAGAAAGATCTAGTCCTTGTTTATTGAAACAGTATTAACTCAACTCTGATTTGTCTTCTTCTTGACGCAAAATAATCTACAGAAACATCATCTGATTTTTCTTTACAGTCTGTATTGCTAGCCATTTAAGCAATACTCTGTTCATGTCCATTTCCCTTTGAATCACTTCCGGTTACTTCACCTGCCAATATTTCATATATATATGTGTGTGTGTGTGTGTGTGTGTGTGTGTGTGTGTGTGTGTGTGTGTGTGTGTGTGTGTGT